CTAGCTTTCTATAAACACAGTTGAGATTGGACTTCTAGTTTCCAGCCCCCTAAAATGCATCGAAAATTCATATCACAATGGCAAAGCAATATCGTATAGTGCTGTTTTATAATATTAATGGCGGCCAATCAACCATTCTGTAAATCGGCAACAATAGAAAGCGTGTGATATTGCCCATATACACGAACCAAAATCCGCATTTGGTATGGATTTCTCGGTGGTGTGACAAATTGAAATTCTCAATCAAACCTCCATCCAGAAGCCGTCAGCATAGCGGAAAGTAATTTTTATTTACAAAAAGAGAGGAAGACTATATTCTGAAATAACTCGGACATCCTAATATGGCTGTTCAATATTTCAGACGAGAAAGGTATAACCTCGTGGCGTCAGTCTTTCATTGCTATAGTCGATTTTTCACCTCTCTTTTGATCACGTGCAGAGACATTGCTCAATCTGCCATTAGCTAAAGATATTCCACTATTGTCCACTCATTTATTCAAGAGCTAATCTCTAATGACGAAAAAATGGAAAGGCTTGCTGGATGGGTATGTGACGTCATAGTGACGTATGTCGGTCTGTATGTTAGAGGCAAATATTTGAAGTCTTGTTATCTCATATACCTCGAGGTATTAAACTATCACTTGAAATTATTGATATATGTATGTATATATATGACCCAGGACATTAGAGAAGATGAAATATCGTTTATACAATGCATTTCGCATCGGTGCGTGCGATTGGGGGTTAATTCATGAAAATAGAAAAGACTATCATATCAATGAAAACCCACAAATCATTCTAACCAAAAGTTTATTTGTTTTCATTGGTATTCAAAGAGCTCCTTAATTCTGATGACTGTTATAGCTTCGAGCTATATGAAAATCTACGGTCTATAGATTTGAAGCTTATTATAGACTCATTTCAATACGGTATACAGAACAAAATCGAGTAAGGATAAACAAATATATGCTTGGAAGTAAATACATATTTAAACAATATATCTTGTCGAACAAAATCTCCCTCTTCATTATTCAAAATGTCACCTACATCGTACGCGCAGATTAGTTGTCGGGATCTTTTCTTATGTAATTCATTCATTCGTCACGACATTTCATTAGGTGTATAACACTATCTTCAAGACTGCGTGTACGTGTATCTTACCATCCTTAACATTTAGGAATTTCTTGAGACCATAAGCTTACTATCACGAGTGACTTTGCCATTACCAGGCCTTGTCCTCGTCGAGAATACTACTGGAGTATTTGCACTCAGCTACCACAGACATGAATGAGGTTTAATACGCCCACCATAGCTTTTAAATATGATGCACTGTGGTTATTAAAACCAGCTTACAGGAGTTAATCAGTCCTTCTTTTCCAAAGAATTAATCCTCGACAACCATCATGGATTATATTTACGACATACACTCATACATCGAATGACGCTAAGCATTTTTTTATAATTTCCCCGATAATGCAACTCTACAATACACTTCTACATATGTTTACTAATAATATGTCACTACGGACTTGGCTTGGCAAACACAAATATATACAAAAGAAGCCACGACTTTTGAAATCAATTTTTTGTTTACATTGTGAGTGAGCCCAATGATATTGTATTAATACCATATCATATTAGAACAATTTAGGGTAAATGAATCATTTGATGAATAAGAGGTAACTCTCAAGAGGGGTAGATGTTGACCCTCATAGTGGTTGTTTAATCAAGCACTCTTTTTTATTAGTATTTTTTATTAGTATTCACTAAACTGCCGAATTCCAATTGCTCTACATTTTCATAATTACCATATAACTATTTTCACTACATTACCCCTTTTGACGGGAAAATCCCATTTACACAGTCATAGCACTACCTCAGTGTAGAGAACTGAGTGTCCTACTTAGTGTCTATTTTGACGGATAAGATGTATATATATTAAGGTATTCAAAACAAAGAGGTGCACTTGCCCTTTACCAATGTCCATTGGGTATCACTGACATATCGTTTCTTTAAAGTTTCGTTTATTTTTATTTCTCTCGTCTCGTAGGAGTTTAAAAAATTATATATCCAGATCTAAATTTAAGTCTGTTTGTCATCGTTAGTAACCAAGGCGATTTTGCAAGGACAGAATAAATATCTCCCTAAATTTCCCATTGGTAAAATGTGCAAGGTTGAAAAGGCAGAATTATTTTTAATTTTTCTCAGAACTACGGTTTGTCTTATACATATCTAATCCATTGACTACTCAAGAAAATATAAAGTTAGGAATCTCACAGACAATAACAATTCTCCTAATCTTTAAATTTGTGTACACATTGTATTTCACTGTTGCGTTTTCCGTCACTCCATGTCGAGCTCTTGTTTCCCTTCCGTCTTTTTTTTTTTGGCCTGGCACAAATTCTCAAGCATCTTACTCTCGAACATGAAAGGTCGTTAGTCGAGTATTTCTAATAGTTACACTTTTGATTAACGGAGACCAGACTTTTGATTAAGCGAGAATTGCAGTAGCACTCATGTGGGAGGAGCTTTTCAATTATCTACCGTCCATTACCACACTTATAGCAATCCCACTATACACGCCAAATCGACACTTATGACCATTTCAGATGATGAAAGTACATTTTGACACAACAGAGGGGGTGTTGTACCGGTTGGGTTTTCGGATCTGTATTGTGCAATCTCACTTAAAGCTTTCATATTTATGGAAAATGCTGAAATCTATATCTTTGTGACTTTTCGGTCTCATCTTGGATGGCAATCAATAATTCACATCACAGTAGTTATACAATAGGCTTTCTTTTGTTACTGTGGCTGGTCTATTTTAAATAAAGAAAAAAAAAGAGTACATGATGAAAAATTAACGTGTATAATTTTGATTTATGTATTCTCTCCTGTCGTATATTTGTAGTATTGTACCCTACTGGCACTGGTAGGTTCATCATCTCGAATAATAAACTTTTTCTGATCTAAAAGCCCATTATCAATTGTTGTCATATAGCGTTAATATAATGTTTAGGGGAAAAAAGACATCCTTAAAGATGTGACAGAAACAAAAAAGGGGTCTTGAGAATATACAATCACTGAAGTTGGTGGGGATGACATAATTTTCCATGAATGAACATCCATGCCATGCTGCCCCATTTGTTCAGGCAATATTATTTCAGCTTTCAACGCTGATTGTCACGTGATTTGTTTTCTTTACCTAAAGTAGAGACTAGTATATCGTAATCAAATTGCCTTCTCGATATAGATCTATATCTAAAATATATTCATCGGTCCTACGGCAGACGTAATCCCTTTTCATTATACACGCATTTTAATTTTTGTTTTCTATGGAAAATTTCGAATCTCATTTGTTTGTAAGTGTATGATACAAAAGAGAAAATATTTCCAAATAATTGATTGGGAATAAAGTCGGAAATGGAACTTCACATTCCTTTCCATTTCGCTTGGGAGAATGTATTCCCTGAGGCGGGCCACTTGGGATGTCATCTCCCATCTAGGAAAGGGGATGGTTTGACTGCATCTCAGCTGGCCCACCGGTCTCTGATATCTATCAACTCTCACCATCATTCATTTGATCAATTTAGACGCGGGGATTGACGGGAGATATCCAAAGAGACAAGCCTTACATCAATCTTAACAGCAATATAGTATTCTCACTCGCTCGCTCTCCAACTTTCCCTCCCCCTCCTACTCTCACCCTCCACCGTGTTATTTTTCTTCTCCTCTCTTCTCTATTCACAGATATGATTTATCCCCCATAGTAGACACTGGGTACCTAAATTGGCAGCAATTTGTTATTTTGTGTTGGAAGAATCGACGGACAAGATTCGCTTAAATGCAAAAAGGCTATCCTCCCGCTCGTCGATAGGTTGTTATAAATATTTAATTTAGAAAGGATTTACAGGGGGCTTTCACGGGGATGAGGCGTTTATGAACAAAAGTGAGCATGAAAAGATGCAATATCGTGTTAAGGTCTATATACACTGAACGTCATCAAACTTGCATTTCATGGTTTTTTTTATCGACGGGCTTTTTTTATCGTGACGGTATAGTTGGCTCATATTGTTTTGATACCGGTGCACTTTCACGATGTAATCCCTACGTGGGACGCTGCCTTTCATAGAGGGGCTTACATCCAAGTACATTACCATAATATCACAGAGTTCATAAATGATCAACCTTCGGAATAATGAACCTTTCTATGTCATCCACTTTAGTGGCTTGTTTTCCCCCTCCTTTTACCCTGCTCCATCGGCAGTGTCTATCCAAGGACATTATTACTATGTGTCAAGAGGCAAAACAAAAACAAATCATCCTGTTCGGTACAAACATGTTTAATTTTTGTTTCAACATTTTGAATTTGTGTTCATGATTTATACAGATAACTAAGCTTGAGTGTATATCCGGAGTGTCTCTATACCCCTCACTATTTTCTACCCTTTTTTCTCCTTTCTCCTTCTCACCTTTTCCTCCCTGCCCCAACTCAATCTGTCTTTTTTCTCTCATTCATTTTTCTCCTTCCCTACTTCCCTCCCCCTCTCCCCCCTCTCTCTCTCTCTCTCTCTCCATCTCCCTCTCTCTCTCTCTCTCTCTCTCTCCCTCTCTCTCTCTCTCTCTCTCTCTCCCTCTCTCTCTCGCTATCTCTCTCCCTTCTTTCTATCATTCTTTCTCCCTCCCCATTCGAATGGTCTTTCCTTTCTTGTCGCCTCTCTCACTTACAGGTTTTATATCCCCCTAAATCCCCCCCCCTTCCCTCTCTCTCTCTGGTTCAGTAGGAAATTTTAGTTTTTGAAATGCAGTTATAACTGCGAGCATTAAAGATTGCAAAATACTGTCAGTATTATAAAATTGGTTTCTCATTGTACAACACTAAAACCTATAGTGATAAAGTGTATTGTTCATAATGGCAGCTTTGCCCCTGCACATCGTTTTCAATTTTTGTTTAATAGTATTAACAAGTGTATACATATTTTGTTTGTATGTTTTTACAGTGCAGCTAGTTGGTTGAAACCACCGTCCCTGAAGCCGTCTCGAAGGGTTCTACCAAGGTACCTGACCTGGAGATACGTTCACAACAACTACAGAAAAATCCTCTTCCTAGTCGTGTTCATTTTAATCAACGTCGCTCTCTTCACCGAGGCCGCGTACCGCTACGCCAAAAAGAAATCAAATTGGTGCCTCATAACAGGTGGGTTTTCTCTCTACTTTTTTAAACAGTGACTCAGAAACGACTGTGAATGTGGATGTGTCCGCGGTTCGAGTCCCGCCGCGGTACTAATGTCATTTGGCAAGACATTAATCTACATTTTCCACACTCAACCCAGGTGAAGTAAATGGGTAGCTGGTAGGATTATTCCTTGAAATGCACTGTGTGCTGAAAACGGCTGCTGGAGCTAAAGCTAGGGTAATAATTTCCAAAGCTCTTTGGAAGCGCGAAGAGACGTTATTTCATAATGTACTATGAGCTATACAGTAACTTAATATTATTATTATTATTGTTATGAGGGGGGTGGTTCATATCAAGGTCTTCCGATTTTGTTTAACTTTACGAGAAGACGGTGACAAGGGCGGGTGTGATCGTTATTCGAAGAAGAAGAGTGGAATCAAATGTGTTGGTTGTAACAGGATAAAATCGAGAACACTGGTCATGCGATTGGGGTTTACACTGTTGAATCCCAAATCGCCAGAAGGAAATTGGGTAATTAGGCTGGTCATATGGTACAGGAGAAAAACTGATTTATTCTGTGGGGTATTGGAATGATTCAATGATCCGAATTTAAAGAAATAGACTCTACCTTGGTGAAAGCCGCAAGCACTGCATAAAAAATGTATGTCTACATCCACCAACCCACCCACACACTAGTATCCAAATGCACATACACACAAACACACATATGGCATTACATTTGTACCAAGTTTTCAATATAAAAGAAAAACAAAACTAATGAATTAAAATAACTTTCTACTCAGATGCGATGAATGGGGGGGGGGGGGGGGGGGGGGGATGATCGTTACGTCAACAGGGTTTCCGACTATTGAAACTGTTTTTTCCGAAAAGCTAAGACATGAGCTGTAATTTAAACTTTCCTTAATTAAAGAAACCTTCAAATGAAAATTAATTCTCACAATTAAATCAAAATACATGTACATATATATTAATACATATTGTTTCATTAGGGAAATAAAATAGACAGCTTGTTATTTAGACAAATTTTAATATTCCAAAACAGGAAAAATAAAAGAACCAAAGAACCGTCAATCAATATCTAAAAAATCAAGCAAAGCATTGCAAAATAATGTTAATAACTTTACGAAATAAAATAGTATTCATATGATTTGTCTGGTTTTAATTGCTTACTCCGTTGATCTTGAGTCTATATCCGGATTTATCTGCCGCTGTAAACGCAATTTGCTCACTGGCTGTATCTGTGTTTCGTTATCGTGCATTTTCATCCAATTGATTTAAGCAATTACTTCGTTGATAGATAGACGCTTAATAAAATGAGCTAAAATGATATGATAAATGGGCGCATCCACGGTGATATGGAATGCACAAGATACCGATCTGTCTATGCAATTCCCTCTGTGTATGTGGCGATACAACAATCTGTTTAATATATATTTTTAAATCACATTTTAGAAATTGCTGGAATTCAAGCGAGAGAGTCAATAAGTGATTTCTTTTCGAGGTCAATGGAGTAGTTTTCTGATTTTTTTTTTCTCGAATTTTCTTTTTTTAACGCGGTTGCTTTCCCCCTCATCACCGGATTCCTGCATCAGTTTCGTTACCATCATCTCTGGTAGTCTCCTCTGGTCTTTATTGAATCTAGCCGATCGCTCAAGAAATTAGAGTCACATTGCAACCGTCGAATCGCAAATAAGCACTTTTAATCAAATCCACATATATCATGACAGTGTTGACTTCTTTAATCGAATTGTAGATGCAATGTTTACAGAATCAACCCAGGCGTAGATATTCCACCAGCGTTGGTATGTCACCGAAAAAAAATCACATGATCTACTCCCTCTCTCTCTCTCGATCTCTCGATCTTTCGTTCTTTCTTTCTTTCTCTCTCTATCTATATATCAACCTCCCTCCCTCTTTCTCTGTCTCTCTTTATCTATATCTATCTATCTACTCCCCCTCTCTCTTTCCTTCTCCCTCCCTCGCTTCTTCTACTCCCTTTCCCCGTCTCTCTCTTTCTATCTCTCTCTCTCTCTCTATCTCCTTTCTTTCCTTTCACTGTCTACTTCCCCATTTCTTCAGTTCTATGCTTTTCGTTAAATAGCTCTGCCTGTTTACAATTTCTCTCATGCTATCTTTTCTATTGAACTCTATTGGTTCCTCTGTCTCCATCCCATCAGCTTCCTCTCCTTATTTAAAACAACCATTTTCCATATATCCCAAAACATCCAATGAATAACTCAAGTCATTCAAGTCAATTTTCTCTCTCTTTATAAGTTTAAAATTGGCCAGGTATTCACGACACTTATCCGTGCTTCCCCGAACATGACGAAAAAAAACAAAAAAACATTACGAAAAGATCAAAACAACTCAATCAATGTTATTGAGTAGACATAGATATCATAATCCAGGGAGTCTACAGGACCAATGCATTATTCATAACTGATTCATGAATTAGGCTAAAGGTTTAAATTCAGCTTTTAAAAGCTTTTTATTGAGTAGACATATATTTCATAATCTAGGTATGCTACAGGACTAATGCATTATTCATAACTGTTTCATAAATTAAGCTAAAGGTTTAAAATTAGTATTCAAAAGAATAAATCCTACCTTTTATCCAAATGTGATATCCACCAAAGTTTACTTTACCAGGCTACCTGAGTCTGAATGCATATCTCATGTTGAATATTAATTTTGATAAGCTGTCAGAAATTGGAAATCAATATTAGCTTGATAACCACACGAAGCAGTGGCGCCCGAGTTTTTCGTCCAGTGTTCTTTATTTTTTGCAATGAACGTTTGGGTTTATTTTTATTACGAGGAAAATCATGCGCAATAAAATACTTCAAAATCACTTGTGTGCAGATAAGTATCAATATTCTGATAAAACAAGAGATAAACAAGGGCTCAAGAGCTCTTAATTGTCTATAACTGTATTCTTATTCAAGGTTAAGAAGAAGAAAAAAAACGGGAAAATATCCTGAAAACATTTACATAATCGTGTTTCTGTTTTCACAGGAACAAAATTAAGGATCTGTTTGGGCCTTAAGACCTTATAGGAATTTTTCTTTGTTATTTACATTTAATTAACTGATGCATCTACAATCAAGTCTGAGTCTCCAAAGTCGCAAATACTTATCTATATTTATTTTACATGCCTTACATGCTATTATTTCAATAATTTTCTGATTTTATTTTAGTAATTTTGGAGGTGTTTTCCTTTTTTGGGAAAAGGTTGATATATTCAGTAAGCAAGTGATTGTTATTATAAAAATCGCTATCACAATGTGTAACGATTATTTATGTTGTGTTTGTGCAAAATTATTCTGCCTTCAACTGCCAATAACCAATGATCAATTCGTTTAAATATTAGATGATAATTGAACTCAGCTTGATTTTGTTCTAAATCGTAACTCACGTGAAATAAGGCATGGGTAATTGAAATACATAATGAATCCACCGGTTTCTTTCATGCTAAACACAACAATGAATGCTATAACGACTTGTTTGAGAGGTATTACTAATGAATATCGATGAGTTCCCGGTCATTTCAATAAACTCAGATGATAGAGATATGTCTTTTCTGATGGTGAACTTTGCCTCCAATGGTGCATGATATTTCTTATCGATAAATTGCAAACGAAAGCGGATGACAATCGAAAAAAATGCCTCTTGTGTCAATATTGACCATTTGATATTAACAGTTTATTAATGATTGAATACCTTCAAAGAGGTCCAGAGCGTACTTTTCATTCAGGTTGGTTGTGAATATCCACAAAAGGCGTGTCATATTAATAAACTGCTGAAATGTTGGTAAAAATACAACCTTTCTGCCAGACCCTTTGTCTGATATTGTTATTAGATTTCAGCGTACAGTGGAAAAATTGATCAAAATTGAACTCGAGAGTAAACTTTAGTAGATATGGAAATATGAAATTGGATAAACGCCGAGGTTTGACATAAAGTGAGGGGAATAAAGTATACGGTACCTTTCCCACAGTATCATTTTGTATCGCTTCGCTGGACTTTCATCTGCTCAATACTCAGGCTGGCATTCTCCCTAAGGTGACTCAATAACAACCAAAAACAAAATCATATAATATCATATAATAATACTATCATCATTATAGATCTACATAACATTTAAAGACAGAAGTAATCTCCTGACACAATCACCAGACTCGTGATTGATCACAATCGTGTGTTCCTTCTCTATCCTCGGGGGACTACTCCTCTTATGTAATAGACGAGATGAATTACATAGGGAGAATTAAGGGTCGTCTCCTTCGGAGATACGCCATGTCTCTCCTGGGTACGGAGTGGCAAATCAGGGAAATGTCCCTTCTCGACGTTTTGAACTGGGGCAAGGTGGATTTAAAGCCTATCTGCACTAGTTTGACCAGGAGGAATTAGACCTCCCTGCGTGGTCACTGGCAGGTGGTTATTTCATCAAATCAGCTCTCAATTAACATAAGAAATAGGGGACTATGGGGGATCAACGGGTACCGCTAAGGCATTGTTGGCTGTATAGAGGGCGCAAGTATAGCTACAAGTAGTGCAATCCCGCTTTAAAGTCTCGATCTAGATCCATTAAGATGACGGTTTTGCCTGAATGAGGAAAGAATTTAAGTCGATTATGCGATGTTATCAACATATTTTAATTATAATAGTCAAATTTAACTTTCCCAGCAAATTAGTGTGCAAATTCATCGCACATGTCCGCAAAACCTCTCCATGTTTAGTGGCATAAATAATAATTTTGATCTTTACACTCTCAGTTTTAAAAGATGGCAAATAATCAGAAAATAGGTACTTTATTTAGGTTATTTCGGTTGTTGTAGGCATCATCTGAATACCCTCTGTAGTTGATATCTCTGGTCAAATGGGGTCTTTACTAAATGTAATAGTATAAGTGCTCAATAAACGCCGAGAAAGAGGGGCTTTAATGCTATTGACCAGTTCGAACGGTTAAGAAACTCGCGTTTTAGTATGTAATAACAAGAAGATGTAAACCATCTACCGCTTCTCGTCGGACAAAAAGAGTATTTTATCAGAATAATGACTAATACATTCACCATGGAGACGTGTAAATACCAGATAAATTGTAAGCTGCTTCTGCCAACAGTCTTAGGTGATCGTTCATGTCCTTAAGTAACGATTATTTTTCCCTTAATGCATGCACGCCAGCGAGATATTCTACCCATTCTCTATTGAAGCGGATATAATACGGTTAAGAAGAAAGTGCTTCAGTTAAAGATGGAATATTATTGACATAACATTATTTTAAAATAAGATGAAGCGAAGCATACGACTCAAAGGAGCGCGTTAGATGTTTACGTTGATAGTAGTATTTTGGAAGAAATATGGAATGAAAATGGAATTGCATTCAATATGGAATTTCAAACAAATAACTTTAACAATGCTCTTTGTTAAATTTGTATATAAGCAAGATGGCATCGCGTGATGTACCGATACGGTGACAGACATTGAATCACCAGGTATAAGCTTTTAATAGTCTTTCTTTCCACATCATGCAGGTTAAAACAATCAAACATTTGGAAATACATGAGATGGCAGTGTATCCATGGCTTTTTCGTCCAAGTTTTTGTCACGGATATCTGAATTATACTGAGAATGGTCACTGGATTTCACAAACATGTTCCAATACCAGGCTCGCAGGCACACACATTGGATTATGCCCATATAAATCGTCTAATTATATTTTCCTCATTTTCTGAAAAGCAAGGAGTTCCATTTTAGCCAGAAGCTTTAAAGCTTATTTGAGAGTGTGTTTTTTGTGAGATAATGAGAGAGAGAGAGGGGAGAGAAAGAGGGGGAAGAGATTAAGAGATGGGAAACATACGGACAAAGTAGCCAGACATTAGAAATGAGACCAAAAAAGACAGAAAGACAAAGAGACACAAAAGACGGAAAGAGAGAGATAATCAAAGAACGAGATAAACAATAAAACGTAATATTTGAAGAAAAAAACAATAAAGAGAAGGAAATTAAACATAGGTGGAATTTTTCGTTGTAATAAATATCAAAATACAGTGATGCCGCCGAAACATTTTAAAATTGAGCGAATGCTAAAATGATTTTCACTATAGAGAGTCGCGATATTTTCATCTAAATTTTGGTCGGATTTCTTTTGTGATCGGGTTGAACGCCCTTTCATTTGAGAAAATTCATGTCACTGCCCACACCATTCTGGCGTTTCAATAATTGCTAAGGACATGTACACGTTGTTTTCTATCGGAAATGAATAGAGATGAAATGTCTTTGTGATTGGTTCGTGCTGAGTTACAGATTCTGTAAAAACGATCAAAGCAACCCGTATGAAAATCTTATAGACTCACCTATTTGGCTTACTTCGAACCATCGGGTCATCACGTCCGGTCGGTGTTCGCGTTACACGACTTTTCATGAAACGAAAGCGGAAGATGACGCGACCTTTCGTAGATTTGTCGTACGGTTTTCTCGAAGTGTCGGGTAAATTGGACCAGACCATTTGTAGTTGAGAGGGGTTTATTTTACAAACATTACCCCCGACATTTCGTGAATAAAGGGGCATGTTTTCACAAAAGGTCGGGTAACGCGACCACCCGACCCAACGCGCTGATCCGATGATTCGAGGAAGCCATTTACCCTTCTTTTTTTTTTAATGTGTTATATGCTTGTATTGTAAACATTGAATAGATTTCTACATGAACTTAAAATGAAATATATAACGTTCAATACTCTTAAAGTTTAAATTCAACTTTGATGGAAATCAAATTTGAAGAATAAACAAAAATTAAATAGATTCAAAGTATTATCCTGATTATGGACACCAGACAACCGGACGCACAAATGCATTTTGAAATAGTCATACAAAATTAACTCTCTAGATAAACACACCCGTTTTCAATGTTTTCCCCGAACGGCAACATTATAAAAGAAACAATCCAAACACTTAGATGAAACTTGGAAATAGGTCATAGTTTGCTGCAGGGATGTCCCTGTTTTGAGAGGCTAGTTGCATAAAGGTAGTTTAATTTCTCCGAAGTGTTATTTCTTAATGGAACTTTAGATTGTTATCACAAACGTATGTCATTCATTAAATAACCCATTAGCCAGGGCCGACCATGAAAGCTTAAAAAACAAAGAGAGTTATGGTAAATATATGCCGCGTGTTAAAAAAACTGTTAACCTGTTATAATCATTATTTTGTTAAATTTGGGGAGCTAAACAATTTATGATCATAATGTACTGATGCGTAGGCCTGGTATGTGCATTGTTTTCCTTTAAATACTGCAAACACAATGTCAGTTTTTCAAATTCTCTTGTAGAGAAACTTTTATTTTTGCAATGTCACTTTTAAATCTATATTGACCGATGCACAAACCAAACATGGTTTAAACAGATGAGTTAAGATGGTTATAACTAAAGTTTTATTTCTGCGATTCATATATGCAAATTGATCGTGTTTTTTAATAATTTTTTTTAAAAATAAGGCTTGCTAAATTCAAATAACACAAGTGTTTATAGAATCACTAATACTGTTTTATCTCTTGTTTGATTTCGATCTGTTTTGCAGCTCGTGGTTGTGGTCAGTGCCTGAACTTTAACTCTGCCTTCGTACTCGTCCTCATGTTGCGCAAGACGATCACCACATTACGGACGACGAAAGCCGCTGAGATCCTCCCTACAGACCAGAACATCGTTTTCCACAAACTGGTGGGAATCTTCATCGCATTGCTGTCTGGAATACATACTCTGGGACACATTGGCAATGCGTGTAAGTAGGTAACAGAACGTTGATGATAGTCATGGTGGTAGCTGACGTGTTGCTTACACTGGGTGGTATTGGTGCTATGGTGTTTGGTTGGTTGATCATGGTGCTGGACGTATAGCTTACACCGGGTGGTATTGGTGCTATGGTGTTTGGTTGGTCGGTTATGGTGCTTGACGTGTAGCTTACACTGGGTGGTATTGGTGTAATGTTGATTGGTTGGGTGGTTATGGTTCTCAGGTGACAGGTTGAATGGTCGTGGTATGATAGGAATATCACTATGGTGGTAGGTTGTCTAGTCATGGCACTAGGTGGTAATGTGTTTGATGATGGTACTGTGGTGGTAGGGTAGTAGGTAATGGTACCATGGTGGTATTGGGTTCATGTGGTAGGATTTTGGTAGTGGTACTATGGTGATTTTTTTGTTTGGTAATAATACCATGGAAGAAAGCTGGTTGGTAATGGTACGTGGGGAGACGTTGGTAATGGTTATCTAGTGGGAGGTTGATTGGTAATGGTTTTATGGTGCCAGTATGGTTGGCAATAGCACTATGTCTATATGACGACAGGTTTGTTGATATTGAAACCAAGGTGGTAGGTAAATTGGTAGTTTATGGTCGTGGTGGTGGAAAAACGTCGTGTTCCAGACAAGTTTTCATACTAATCGAAACTCATTTTCACTAATCATGTACTTCAACATGGATTGATGTCCAATTGACTGTCGTTAAAAGTGACATAAAGATGAGACTCCCTTTTTCTTATCTTCCTTTATCTTATCTTCTATGTTTGCATCTTCAGCTTCCTTCCCTTTCATCTCATTCCTCCCTGTTTCATGCAAGTTTGTCACCTATCTTTCCAAACTAGTGCACCTACATTACATGAGCAAATACACACAAGAATAGATGGTATAGGTAGATAGAAATAGAAAGAGAGAAAGTAAGAAGGGCTAAAATCGTGAATTCCGCGGTGGTAAAATATTTCTATTTCTATATTTATATGTCTTACCACCGGGGGTGCGTTTCACTGTGCCCCCGTGCCATGCACCTACAACACAGAAGATTAAATACGAAGCAACTACATGTATAGGATGAAAGAGGATGGGGAATGAAACCAAAAATTGTCTTTCTCTCGCTAATGCTCATTCCGAGTAGAAGTACGAGTGATCAGAATATCTCATCTTTACATCCCACAGGTCTTTATAGAACACTTGACACTGTCAATCACGATTGCTCTTGTGTCAATTTGTTTGATCTATATCCTCAACCTACTCAATGATGACGTTGGTGGTGTCAGTGGTGGTGTTGGTGTTGGTGAAGGTGATACTGATGGTGGTAATGATGATGATGATGATGATGATGATGATAATGATGATGATTAAGGTAAAGGTGATAAGGACAACGATTTATTCATTATTTAATCATTTTCAGACTAATGTTGCAAAAACTCACCTTTTATCCTACCACTCAATGCGCCGTCATGAATCACAACGTCCACGTCACAATTGATTTAATTTGAAAACGAATAAACGATGGTATAACGCTTATAATCAAACTGTGTCGTGGTTCACTGCATAACAAGAAACCATGAACAAACAGTGGACTAGAATGTAATTTAGCAATTAAAGTGGGTAGTCGAATAATTGTCACATGGTTATTCAAACTCCCAAGGCACTTATTTTCTAATTCGGAATTTCACATTAAGGATGAAAATTTGAGAGAAGAAGGATCAAGAAGACACGCCGCTCACTCACCTAATTGCGCCATTTTTTGAGCGATGGCGTATTATGGTAATTCGCTGGACATTATTTAGAGGGGCGGTGCGCATGTTTGACAGTAGTTCGCTATGGCTAGTTGTAAAGAAAAAAATGGTGTGTGAATTTGTCCTTTATTTTTATTTCTTGAAGAAAATTAATTCGTTGCATCTTTTCGTGGAATCTACTTGTAATATCATGAATCGGAAAATACATGAACGTAATTCCTTAAATAATACTTTTACGAAGGGAGCAGTCATTTTTCTCAAAACGCTACAATAATATATTTCAAATCTATCACCCGTCCCCTCATCTCTCTTTCTCTCTCTTACTAATTTTCCTCTTTTTCTTTCTCTTTCTCCACCTCCTTTCTCCTTCTTGCTCCTCTCCTACCCTCTCATCTTCCCCTCCCCCTCTCTCTCACAATTTTTCTCTTAACTCTTTTCTTAAGAACTTAAGAGTCAACCAAGCAACACAAATTGGTCGCATTCTAAAAATATTGGCGTATCTTTCTGTAAAAGCACCTTGGTCTAATACCATTCACGTTATAATGGCATGAATGGTATCGTTAATGTAAATATGTATGTCTTTCTCACGATTAAGTTTGATAATTCTACTTAGTCCGTTACAGGTTAGCGTGGCATGTCCCTGAAATGTCACTCCGTGTCCGCATAATCAGTTACCTGCTGAACTCCTTTCGTCTCTATAAAAACTAACCGTGCTTTGTTTGGGGGCAAAATAGAGAAATAAAGCATGTCATTTTTTAATATCGCCATGGTGGAGACACACATCTAATATGCCACTCCGCAAACAAGTCATCTACATTCAACACAATACCGTGGCAGTAGCAATCACAAGTTCGTGTTATTAGTGCGTAGGAGGCAGCCCTTTTTCTCAATTTGCTAATTTTCTTCATTTTCTTCTTGCTTTGTCTTCGCTTGCTCACGGCAACGCGACAAGCCTTACAAAAAAGAAGACTTTACTAGGACTGCCTTCCCTTGAGCATACCAACATTATCACGAAGTCAATACGAAGCTTTTAGAGTCTCGACTTTGTAAATGCTATATTCACATCTTAGGTAACATTTGTGAAGTAGTAACATGAAACAAAGTTCTTTTTTAAAGGCGCTTAATTTATGGTAAATCGTTTTCCAGTCTATATTTTTACCCATTTCTGTCAACGCCTGTAGACATACAATTATTCAGCAACTGGCAATCAACGCTGGAATATGTTTGCAGTCGATACATACGGCTGTTCTTGCACCTGATGGTTTAAACATAGAGTGATGGACTAGATGATGATGATGATGCCCTCATAAACCATGATACTTTACAAACATGGTGATGTGAGTCGATCAAACACGGATCAAAAGATAATCTTCCACTTTATTTCAGTCAATCTAAATAAAAGTGAATAGAAGATAATAGAATGAAGCAGACGGAACTCTGTTGAAATCGTTTGATCAACGTGCATATATGCGATTTTGTGATCAATTTAGAGAAAAGATTTCAGTCGACCGCAGAGTGGCTTTATGACCTTTAGCAAGAAACATTGTTGAATCTCTCTGGAGTCACTTCTTGAGCTCTTCAACGGAGAATCGTGTCTTATAAATTGACTGTTAACGTTGTTTAAAACCAGAATGTTGTTATATCTAATTAAATCCGTGATTAGGTTTTATGATTCCCCTGATATTAAGGAATTCCTCAGTGATTCTCTCCATATCTAATTGAGCGAATCAAATCCTAACTATGAAATTCGGATCTTTTTTTCTTTCTTTCTAGATTTAATGCTTTAATGTCTAAACAAAAAACAAAATACCGAGACATGCTTTGATTGAAAATTATTTTAACAATTGTTGCTTTGATATGAATTAAATAGAAACCGTTTTTGCAAGTTATATTACATCATGAACCATAGCGGTTATTCTCAAATAATGGTTCAGCAGGACTTTATAGGTACGAACATGCACATATTGAAAAAAAAGGTTGCATTGGAAAGCCAGTATGTCCTAGTACTATTTGTTCGATAAGTTCGTCAACATGCCTGGTTAGAAGGAGATATTTACTTTTAGTTAGTGAAGAGTAGTTTAATTGTAGTTAGTAGCTCTATGAGGCATCGGCTATTATTCTATGGGAAAGTATATGATGATGACGAGCACGTGCTGGCATCTTGTTGACAATGCCGACCTCTTTCCCCCTTCATCAGGTCACATGACACGTCACATGTCTTACATAATAAACAAATGCGGAAAGAAAGACTGCAAACGAAAAAGGATAATACCTTATGTACTTTATGCCTATTGATCTTGTTGATTTAAGAAGAACGAAAAACCATCAATTAATTCAAACTTAGATTTCTCTCGTTTTCAACTTTAAGCTAGCCAGGGAATGAGACAGAATAGTTCATTCGATTCTCATAACTCTAGTATTTGAACAGCAAAGCAATGTGTGCATCTTTAATTAAATGAGCGAAAAAATACCTACGTCTCCAACATCAGCACTGGAATTTACCTTTAACATATAAGACAGAGCTGCTATACTAAATTACTTAGGAATTGGGTATATTTACATTTCTCCCTAAATAGTCACTGGAAGACTTTATTTCATAGGTATCTTTATAAAAAATCGTTTCATAATAATGAGTATAACTACTTAATCACTAAACTGCACATTATAATTGCTTTGTTTATCCACTGAGTTGTTTTTATTGCCATTGTTGTTAAATTATAGAAAGGAAACGTAATCAAACCGAGTACACCCACTATACAAGCATTGCAAGCTTGCAGTATGAGAATTAGATCAATCAGGCGACAATGTTGTTTCAATAATTCATATTCTGACAATAATTAAAACATCCGATGTTATGACATTAATGCATGTGTCGCTACAAAGGCTGACATTTTCCTAATCCATCCCCTCATGCTCTTAGCGTCTTCAGTCTGACGTAACATAGGCCGCGCCGGCGTTGGCAAACACTCTGTAAAAAACAGCTCCATTGCTCATTTCCCTTTGCATAAAAATCGAAATTTCGCCCGGAGCTTTGAGTTACAGGAAGCGATCAAATAAATGTATGATATTGTAGATCTACTATTGATAAGCAGCGACAGGTGATAGATTCTATTAATCGTGTTAGTATTGCAGTTATGAAATAACACCACCACGGGATAATTATATGCGACTGAAACATCTTGGGGAACATGAGGAAATGGAAAAATTGATACGTCTGGGAGAACTGCCTTTTTTTTTTTTTTTTTACCTCAGTCTTCAAAATGGAAAATTCTTAACCGAAGGGCATATTTTCTTGTCAATATACATGTAATTAGAAGCAGCCGCTTCTTCTCATCCACGCGTCTCCCTTTTTACCCGTAGTATTCGTGTGGTTCGTAGTCATAAAGGAGTGTCCAATTTAAAGTTTTTATCATGTTTATTATGAACTAATTACTCTAATTCTGCAATAAAATAACGAAATGACTAAATTTGTATAAATGGAAATGAGAAATTTATTATGTGTTGACATTTGGTTGATCTTTACGAGATAAGGCGGTTGACAGTTGGCCTAAATATAACATCCACTTTAACCTGGAAAAAAGTCAGTACGCTTTCATAATTTCTTGTGATACAATTTATATTTAAAAAACACTGATGTTAATTTACGACAGGTTGTGATAAAAACGCCGATTACAATCTTACAAGGTTTTAACGTAGTGAAGGGCGGTAACTACAAATTCAGCGTCTTAAGAGTCCATTTAAATTGATTTTTCTTTCGAGTGAGTGACCTATGTCTGCTTTGTTGGTAATCACAAAGATCTTTTAAAGTGTTTCATATTCCCTCATGTATTGAATCAGGATAATAAAATGAATAAATTAAAGAAGCTCAGAGGGCAAAATTAACGAGTCATATGGAAGAAATAGTCAAGTGCAAGACGACATGGTGAAATATTTCTCTACTACATTATTTTAAAAAGAGAACCCTCTGTAATTACCGCTAAATGAAGAAGAAATATCCCTTTGATTTAGCCTTCTTATCACTTGAAACATACTCTTCTTGTAAGAGAAATGGAGAAAACGTTTTCAGTCTACATCAGACATAATGATAACGACTGAAATCTGCATTCTGGGATTTTGCTAAACTAAACCCTTTGAATGCAGTGCCAAATCACATTGAAAGCACCATTTTTATTTCTTTATTTTCCCATAGACGCCTGTTACAAATTTCTAATGATTGAAAATTAGTGATGCTCTAAGAAAAGGGTCACAATAGGTCATCAATTTGCTGACAAAAACACCATATGGATAAAATAATACATCCACGAAATATGTACACAAAGAGATCGAGATCAATAAAACGTTTGACTCAAACACGAGTTGGGTTCGACGACCGAATTAGAAGGAAAAAAAGAATCTTGCCTGAAAGAAGCAAGGGCGGCAATCGAAAGATTACACCGAAAAGAGAAAAAGGAGAGAGGGAGGGGGGATAGAGAGAGAGAGAGAGAGAGAGAGAGAGAGAGAGAGAGAGAGAAATAGAGAAGAGAGAGAAATGGAGATTAAAACGTTTAATAGAAATGATTCGATTAGGCCCATTAGAATAAAAGGTGAAGATCCACCCGTGGCGGGGTCTGTGCGGCAACGCCGTGTAACGCCGGTCGAGTGGCGCGAGGACAGGTGCTTTGGTTCGCGGAAGAGATTCAATTAATGTCATTGTCGGGACTCTATAAAGCCACACGGTATAAAGACAAAAAGAATGCAGCAAAAAAGGGTGAATTGATGTTTTACCCCCGTGGGTGTTCAATACAAAATAGGAAGAAAAGAGATAGAGAAACCGTGATTTATGATAATGGCTGAGAGATATCTGGAACTATTTATTCAGGTTAGATAAATGATGTAGGGACATCAGTGTGTGAATGACACCTGCTCTACAAAGGCATCATCAAGCGGACTCTCTGACGACGACTACATCGCATCTTTCCCCCCTCCCACGCGGTCGCCATGGGAACGCAACTGGTATATCAAACCTTTGTACGATGCTAGGATAGTTTGGATAAATAGTGCTACTTTTTGAAGGGATTGGAGGAGAATAGGCAATCAATAAATGTCGGATATCAGTTATTCGTAAACATTGAGAGAATCAATAATTGCAATAATTGATGCGCCGTCTGCCGATAATAGACAAGATTATCTGCGTTTTGTATGGAGGTCTGAACAGATGATTACCTGCATTAGGGACGGATTTACCTCCGTTTAAAATGAAAATTGCATGGCCGCGCGACTTACAAGTTTTGTGTATCAAATGAAACTGTCTGCTTTCAAAATGCATCATATCAATCAGATATAGTGGTTGTAGCTCTTGTCACCCTTTAGATTTTACAAACAACTCTTAATACAAGTTATCAATTACACAAGTTTGAAAGTAAGATTGTCCAATAGAGTTTGGTTTATATCTGCTTATATTATTCTTGTTTGTCTCCTCCTTCTGTCTCTTCCCTCGACCCATCTCTTACATCTCTCTAACATCTCTCTCTCTCTCTCTCTCTCTCTCTCTCTCTCTCTCTCTCTCTCTATTTCCCTCTCTCTCTCTCGCTCTCTCTTTATATCTACTTTATTTACTTTATCTAATATATATACATTATGTACATACAGAAGTACGTATGTTTGTATGCATATATTATATTTCCCCTTTTGCCTTATATCACTCGTAGTGTGTATATCTTTCCATTTATCACAGCCACAATCCTATTCTTTCCTTACCTTGTTTATTTATATTTCTTTTATCTTTCTTAGCTCTTTATCTTATTTAGACATTCATCTCGTTTTATAATCAGTTAGTTTTTATGAAATGGGCAACTGAGCGACAAATGACTTTTAAGTTGTCATTATGTAATCTACTTCAATAATCACCAGCGTCGCGTCTGGCTCGATAAAAATCAAAAATCTTATATATTCGCGTTCACCTTCATGCGTCTCTTAATGGGTTATGTCCTCCAAGAATCACCAGAACACTGTTCCTTCCACAACCTCCATTTTGACCAACATCCTATAATGACCGGCTAATGGTGCCTAGTCCCGTTGGAAGCTCGTTACTTCGCCCAAGGGAGCTATAATTGATTTGATTAATTCATAAATGCGTTACCAATTGTTATCATTTATGATAGTTATCTCCCAATTTGGAAACGGATAGGCCAATTGATAGCCATGTAATGAGAAAAGATGATCTAAATGAGGATATAATGAAGTATGAACGTGTACATCCTTTTTTCATGCCTTTTGCACAATGTCAACTATGTATTTAAGAAAACACGTTTTTATGCAAGCATTTAATCGAGGACTTTGATATTAAATTTAAAACCTCAAAGAATGGCCAGAGTCGTTATATGAGGTGTGGCCCAATGGAGTAAGGGTATCGGATATGACGTAATACTATACAATATGTAATAACTTTTCACAGAATACCAATCAAGTATTTAAGAATAATAAACCCCAATTTTTAAGCTTAAAAGATCGGCCTTTCAGCTTAAGGAGCGATATTGCTTAATGTTAAAACTCAGTGACCTAGAATGATGTAAGTTCGACGGAGCATCGAACTTTTCATTTTCATAGACATATATCTACTGGGGTTGTATTTATTTCGTAATTGAAAAGCTTTATAAAACATCTTCTTCACTCTTAAAAATACTAGGTAAAAATGTGCCATGAGGGTGAAAATGTATCCATCCATATTTGTATTATCCCAATTTGGCTAATATGTTGCCCATTTCTGAAGGAAATATTCTATATTTTCAACCTCATTGAACAATATATTATTACTCAAGTTGCGTAAAGAAAATGCCTAAAGCCATTTTACTGCTGTTGCTTTTGTTATAATATTTTCTACAAATGATGGATCAAAAACAAAGTAACAAATTGATACAAATTAAACCGACGTGAACACAATGTCCAAAAAAAAATCATATTAAAAAAGAGCATTGTGTAAATACATATTATCGTGTAAAAAGAGTGCGAAAATTGATCCACATCAAACTTCAATAACAAATCATTATGCGTTTTTAAGTATATTGATTGAGCCAAAGTTTAAAAATCACTATACAGTGAAACCTGTCTATAAAGACCACCCAAGGGATACACGAAAAGTGGTCTTTATAGGCAGGTGATCTTTATGTACAGGTTCCTTTAATACAAATTTCAATAAGAAACCATTTTTTTTCAAAGGGAAACAAAAAATGTGGTCTTTATAGACAGGTGGTCTTTCTATACAGGTGGTCACTAAAGCAGGTTTGACTGCATGTAATTCTAAAACCTTTGTTGATATTTTCCAGGGTTCGTAGAAAAGACAACCGATGGTAACGTCACGATGTCGGCTCTACTCTTTACGAACCCTCACTTAACGAGCCTCGGGCTCGCTCCCGTTTCCGGTAGTGCCTTCCTCACTGGCTGGGTGTTGGACATCATCCTCGCCATCATGGTCATATGCTCAATGCCCTTCGTCAGACGATCAGGACATTTCCAAGTAAGTCATTCTAATCTCATCTTATTCCAATTGGAGGGCTAGTAAGAGAGAAAGGAAGTTTTCTAAGATGCTTCATCATTGACACATTGTCGGGAGATGGTTATCAGATTCATTGGTTTTATATTCAAAACTATCATCGAAAACATATTCAGATTAATAAAATTGTGTTGTGAAACAGTATTAGAAAATTTTCTCCCCCTTTTTTTTTTGGGGGGGGGGTGGGTTATTTGCCTCAACCTCTTTGTTTGACCTTATCTCTGTTTGTGCATAAGTTATGAGTATCTTTCTCTCTTAATATGTCTATTATTTCTTTATGTCTCTGTGTATGTCATTGTATGCCAGTCTCAAATCTCTCTTTTTCTGCCTATTCTCTCTCTCTCTCTCTCTCTCTCTGTCTCTCCATCCCTCCATAATCTTTCTCACTTTCTTCCTTGGTCCTTCCCGGTCTCGCGCTCTATTTTTCCTTTGGGTTGGGTCTCTCTGGCCCCATGTTCGGTTTGAATATGATAATTTATTGGCATTCTTCTTTTAAAATCTTGAAATAATTCTCCTTAACGATGACTACTTTCACCCAACTCAATTCGTACGCAAATCTTGTATGATTTTATTTTGTCAAACTGGATCACAAGTTTGTATGTTTACATATTCTATTTTCATTCCTACCGTAATACTTGTACTTTCATTCCTTTGCAATGTTCTTGTTCAGGTGTTTTACTTCACGCATATGTTGTACGTGGTGTTCTGGGGCCTGCTGCTCATACACGGACCCAGGTTCTGGTACTGGTTCGTGGTGCCAGGAATCATCTTCATCGTGGAGAAACTCAGTCAGACCAAATGCGTCAAGCAAGCCCGTTACGGAAAGACATATGTACAGGAAGTTAACCTTCTCCCATCGGGGGTAAGTATGTAGGAAGCTACAGGGGTTAGTGGGTAAAGACGAAATAACTAGATTAGGGGAAGGGGTAAAAAGTGAGAGAGAGAGAGACAGAGAGAGACAGAGAGAGAGAGAGACAGAGAAAGGGGGAGAGAACAAGGAATAATTGGAATAAGGAACATGAAAAGGAGATGATATGATATCTGGCCGTCCAACACCTTTACTCTGGTCAGGGGTCTTGCTAATTTACATTTATTCCATCGGGTGAGACAAGTGCCCCCATCTCTCGCATGATTCAAGTGCCCCTCCCCCCCCCCCCCCACTCCCTCAGTGTGTGTACCCATGCTACACTACCGGGGATATGTTTAGAAGACAATGAGTGCTTCTGAATGAAACCGTGCGCACTAATCCAATTTAAGGATGGGAAAAACGATGCATGAATGTTGGAGCATTCATTCGTATAACGCATTCCACCAGGCAGCATCAAGATTCAGAAAACCACATATTATAATAATATGTAGAAAAGCAAATCTGTGCATGTATTCATCTTGTAAATGATATGCGTTCTTTTTCATCCTGTTGTTTTGTAATCAAAAGACTATTGAACGTTTAAGACAATGACAGATGAACTCATATTAATATAGGTTACCGTGGTATCTATTGTACTAATGTATAAACGGTCTATATGAATATATGAATAAGACGGTTTCATATAATCCAAAAGATTCATGATGGATAAATGAAAAATGGGTATAGTTACTAGGGATTTCATGGATAATTGGCAATGATCCAGTTCATCTTTTTTTCTATTGTATACACAAAATATATTTTCAAACATGCAATTTTAGATCTATTTTTAAAAAAATTTTATGGGATAATATTTCAAGTTATAAAGAGATATGAAAAAAGTGGAATTGCAACCTCAAACAAGGATTCTGCATAAATTCATATCCATAAATAGAAATGACATTCCTTTAGCATGGAATTGGAAAAAAGCGTTTTGAAAAGCTATCCAAAAATGCAAGAGATGATACAATATTGCACAAAAGTATTAAATCATACAGTATACAGCACACAGCTATATGTTTACTTCAAAATCGCCATTCAGAATTAATTTGATTACTCCTTTTGGTGATACTCGCAAGGGATTTATTTCAAAGGAAAGGATATATATATATGATAAGAAAGTGTTTAGGTTAACCATGCGTGTTGAATGCCGGCTCTTTAATAGTAATGCACTTTTTAGTATATATTTTCTGTGTGTAAGTATAGCCCTTGAAAAAGTATACTTAGAAGAAGTATGACGTACAACATACGATGTACTACCTTTATAATGGAATAGTTATGTGTTTGTAATATGATGGGCTTTTAAGGTTTACACATAGTTTTCGTGTGAATAAATTGGCATGGAATGATAGACAATTAATTTTAAAAATAAACGCAGGATTTTTCTGACGATGTGGTCTATGAAATATACTCCTTTTTTCTCTCTCACACACACACACACCTGAACACACCCGAGTGGGGGAGTGGAGAGAAGGAATGTGAACTTGAAAAGAAAATGATCGACCTTCTCCAAAACCCATCCCCCAATCGATTGACTTTTTAAATTTCATTTCATCTTCTGAGTTACACTGGTGCTCCCATCATGATACCAGTACCCCCCCCCCACTCCTCGTGCATATACCAATAGATATACCACCGAGTTGTGAGTTCTCTTTGATAGAGCATGTTAATATTTAAATATTAACCCTTCGGTTGCTATCTTCACCTCTCTGCACGGTCACCCGTTTGCCATACGTTTGCCACGCGTGTTATTTTACTCAAAGCAATAGCCACCGATCGACCGAAAGGTTGCTTTATGCAACACAATAGCTTTATAAAATTGCCCATTTCCGTTCTTCTTTAGCTCCATGACGACCCTTTTGAACACCGGTATAGATTCATATTGCACTTCACAATTATTCAAACCTTTGATATATCTATTCCATGATGAACTATACAATAGTATGAATATTATTTTTTACTATTTACCACAAATTCATTTCATTTGTTTAGGTAACGCATCTTGCATTGACGAGACCCAACCGATTCCATTACAAAGCGGGAGACTACATCTTCATCAATATTCCTCAGATCGCTCAGTACGAGTGGCATCCGTTCACCATCAGCAGCGCACCAGAACAGCAAGGTATACAACCATTTTAACCTTCTCCAAGGGCGAGTAAAAAGGATAAAAAGGAGAGAGAATTTTGTAAAAACATCTATTCATTGAATAGTGGTTGTGCCCTAAAAAAGTCGATAACTAGTCTAGACAGATTATATCATTTACGTGTGATTAGCATCATCATTTCATCAGATAGCAAACCAATCGAATTTTAACACCTGCGAACTGTGATAATAATCTGTGAGTTTTAACACGTCGCAGATAACGCTTTATACAATAAATCTCAATGTTAGTGTTTCGATAGCAGTAAGCTACCCAAATTATGTGTTTTATTTTCTCTTGTCGGTTATTCAAATATAATTTACCTTACCTTTATTTTCTAAAACTCTTAGATGTCAGTTTTAGTTCATTTTTCATTTAATCGTTTATACAAACATGCTCATTGAATTAGCTTATTAACCTAAAAGGCTAAAAAAACAAACATTTGAAAAACTACTTTCTTATGAGCATCCTTTTTCAAGCGCACCATATCAGCTTTTCTTTATGCTCATTAATAGAGTAAGGAAAAGCTAACAGAAAGTAAAAATACCCAAACATTAGATGAGAAGTTTTCCAAACATAAAGTTGCTAGCTGACAAACAGATTTGCAGCCATATTGTGGAAAGGAAAGTTGATCAACGTGTTTGCCTTAACAGGAAATTAAATCAATACCAGACAGAGTCATCACAGTGGTTCTGCATAGCCCATCAACCTATAAGAAGATCTCCATGCTATATCCAATGCCTATTTTCCCCAAACAGAGACTCTAGGATAAAACCTATACCAACTTAATTTACTGCAACATTGCTATAGATGTACATGGTAGTCAGACGGTACACAGTCCTCATCATGTTGTTTTGATGCATGTAAACTAAACCTCGTAACTCCCAGTTAATCACCACCCGCATGATTTGACAGATTTGATTCATACTCCATCGGCTGAGTATTTTGATTGCGGTATGATATTCCCATAACCGATAACGAGCAGTGGCCTGTACTCCGAGTGACAATGGTCAATTATTCAAGCTTCATTTTGTTTTGTTTTGTTTTGTTAGTTGTTCAAATAAATCTTTATTCAGATACTAAATCACGGATAACATCGAACATGAATATATACATATTAATAATGTTAAAAGCACTTCATGTCAGGTTGAATGAGATGAAATTCTATATCTGTATTAACTTGAAAGCAGAGTGTAAACGCATTTCCCGTAAATCAATAATTATCTTCATCCACTTAGTAGTATTCACATCTATTGTCTTAGTCTTATTTTCCTCAACTTCTAGTCTGTATTTATTCCAAAAAAAAGGGGGGGGGGAGTATTATAATTTTGATAATTATTCAAGCTTCGTGAACGCATCAATTTCATTATCAATAGCTATCATTCGAGACATAGATAAGTACGTTTAAAGCCACACTGTCCTACTTATAGCTACTTGCGCCCTCTATATCAAACAATGCACAATCGGTGACCATTGATCCCCCATGATCCTCTTTGACTTATATTAATTGAGAGCTGATTTTAATGAGATAACCACCTGTCCAGTGACCTTGCATGGTGGTCTAATCCCTCCTATAAACTAGTACAGATAAGCTTTAAGATATGAATAGAGAGAACGCTTAATAGGCCTCGGTCCCACTTTCATTTGACCATTAAGTCCCAACTAATTTCCCTCAGCTCGCTCCCCGTCCGGCCGGTCGGCCTGCCTATCATTCCATGGTTTACCATACCCAAAGTGCTATAACACTCGAGAGTTGAAGGGAAATCAAATGCCTGACTCGGCTGAGCCCCGAGGCGAAATATAAGAACCCTCCTCGTTAAGTTTCCTCCCATCCATCCATGCCTACTTCCAGTGACTGGATATATAGAGGAGTAAAGAAGCAAAAACGTTTACTACGATCCATTCGATGTGATCCATGAGACGTATTGCCAGGATGATTCCTTGAAAATGTCATGTGCAGAATAAATCATGTGCAGTCAAACCTGTCTATAGCGACCGCCCAAGGAAGACACAGAGAGTAGTCTTTGTAGACAGGTTCGTTTAGTACATGTTTCAATGGGAAACAAATTTTCAAGGGAAACAAAAAAATGTGGTCTTTGTAGACAGGTGGTCAATAAAGCAGGTTTGACTGTATTTACATATAACTGGAAGCTTCTCTTTTTACTAACTTCTATTTGGCCCAAAACGTTCGTCCCTTCCCTCCGTAATGTATTATCAACATGCACTTTCCCTATTCTGGCAAAGTGGTTAAGTGTGCTGAACAAAAAGGTTCTAAAGGATACCTATCATCCGGACAAGTAGCCCTTATTGTCCAGAAAAGTACCTCCAAACTACCTGACCCTGGGATTTTACCCTAGGACAGTCAGTCTCAGACCTAACCTCTAGTAAAAATATTCTTCCTGACTACTATCCCGGACAACACTTTTCCCTCTCTCAACTACCCCCAGGACAAGGACCACCGGACATTCACCCTCGGCCAAATCATCCATGCGAACAATCCGATAGCTGAGACCTTTGGAATGTTATATTTAACCTACATTATTCAATGATTCAATAACACCTTGGCCCCATTTCACAAAACTTTTCGTCAGTGACGATTGACAGTTTTTGTAATAAGGTAGTGAAATCCTTGCTTCTGATTGGCTATCAGCAGATTTGTCACTGATTTTTGTCATTTGTCATTGAAAAAAGGTTTTGTGAAACGGGTCCCTGTTCAGTGAATACGTCCATATCTACTGTAGATCACTGGTGGAGTATTTATATTAAATCATAAATATTTTTTTTTTAAATCAGCCTGTCACAATCACTTATACATTTTAGATTATTTGAGCGCGGAATCGTGGCTAACTAAATGCTGTCCATTTTAAGTTTCCTTTATGCTAAATCGAAGATGGCGTATTTTTTAGTGGTTTTTGCACCTCAAACGAATATAAGCACCACTTCTAAAAGGTTTATAACTTTTAACATCGATAGTTCAAATATGCACCCTTAGGAGAGTCTGACTTAGAAGGGTGCAACAAGTTAGAATGTGCAAATGTGCATCTAAAAATTTTATGATGTAAAAGAAATGGTTTGATTTTTCGACACTCAAGTGCAGCATCGCTAATGATTTGAAGATTTCATTCTTAGTATGTCGGCTCTATTGAAAAGTGGAATAAAGTTTCTACGTTTTTTTATTAAAGCACCCCTTCAAATCAGCTTTGGAAAAAGAAAATATTGTTTTCAAACATAATAGGTATCTCTAATATTTATATTGTTATATTTAGTAAATTTTCGTTCAAGGACTGAAGATTTGAAGCTCAAAGAGAGAAGGTTATATATTTTTAAGTTTTAACCACCAAATGTTAATATTTCTTGATTGGCTTATCATAGACATGTTGGAAAGAAAATCCAGGTTTATTAATGTTTTAATTTGTTTAATTCTTTCAACCAGGAAAACTTTGGAAAGAAAAAACACTAGCTAAAGGCAATAAGGCGGTAATAAGGGATGAGAAGTTCTTTTAAAGGCCCACTGCACTACTTGTAGCTACTTGCGCCCTCTATATAACAAACAATGCCTAATCGGTGACCATTGGTCCCCCATGATCCTCTTTTTCTTATGTTAACTGAGAGCTGAGTTGATGAGATAACCACCTGTCCAGTGACCTTGCAGGGCGCTCTAATCCCTCCTGTAAACTACGGCAGATAAGCTTTAACATGTTTGGATAAAAGCACTTTACGCGGAAGCGCATTCAAAGAAGAAAGAAAGGTAGAATAGGGTTAAATTTTGTTATAACACTTGCAAAGGGTTTCATGTTGTTTAAAGAGACTTCAAAAACCGTTTAACTGTTAATGTTCCAGGTGCATGATATTTTGTAATGAATCGGAGCAATAAATTGGCAGAATGTGCGATGAAATGGGTCCAATCGAACCGGATACTTTTTCTTCTAGTGTTCTTCTCTAGAGGCTCTGAAGTCAACGTTGAAATCAAGCTGACGGGGCTAGAGGCCTGGCTGAACTGTCTGCCCGAAATCCTTAATTACTCCGCCCTAATAGCGCGTATCAGATGCTAGAAATTGGAGCAACCTGGATGGTAAGGGATCGGAGAAAAAGGATTGGCGAGCCCGCAGCTGTTGAATCTGTAATTCAACAATACGATGACATTGGTCGTGTCGCCATCATTCACTGAATTCATCCATTACACAACCAACCAAACCACACACACACTTTTATATACACACCACCATCATCATGTAAGCTGATGAAGAAATAAAAAAGAGTGGAAAAGCTGAGAAAGTCAACACGTCATGTCGTGTACTTCTTCCGATTTTGACCGGAGGCGATGGATTATCTTTCACATACGCAGCTTTAATCAAACGTGTTTGCATAAATGCTGCTCAATAATTATTCTACTCCAATCGTTCCAGGGTAAGGCTCATTTTTTTTCTTCATCTTCCTAGTCAAGCATTTCGTTCGGGATTACTTTCCAAAGAGAAGGAAACGACGACTTTATTTTTGTCCATTCATTATTGGATGTTTTTTTTAAAGGGTCTGATTGATGGGTATGGCTTGTGATGTTGATCGTATGACCTATTAATCAATCTTACAAATAGCTCCAACAACCTCAAATCACCCTCATTACCGATAACACTCGCGTCATCGACTAGCTCACACCGTGTATTGCATGACACCTGCCATGCCACCTTCATTAACCCTTCGAGTCTCGATGTCAGTTTTCCAAGTACACCTTACCACATAACTGTAAAGTCGTAGCATTCGGGAGCACTGACGATCTTCGTTACAGCCGGGTTTTCAGTGTCGGCCTAAGCAAACATCAAGTATATTCCCCGAAGTGTGATCGATATCAGTTTGACATTACGTTGGGGCATTTCTAGACGGATATCAATGTTATCATCATTAATTGCTGGAGAACATTGGCTCCAAGCTGTTTTGATGGAACATGTTGGATGTAGCTACGTGTTTAATGACGAAATGGCTCGTTAAAGCATAGATTGACGAGATAAAAGTACTAGGTTTTTAATACATAGTGACAAAACATTATTCGTTGCATATGTTACTCCCCTCCCTTCTCTCTCTCTCTCTCTCTCTCTCTCTCTCTCTCTCTTTATTCATCCTCAGAATTATCAGACATAATTGTGATTTTATTTGTTTGTAAATAGTTTTTACATTTACATGGAACTTTGATTTTCAGTCATTGAGACATAAAGACAGAAAGACAACAATGTTACAATGCACGAAGACCTTGATAAATCGAATTTTAAAAATGCATGAGCACGATTATATTTGCTAGAAATCACTGCATCTAATATAATTAGTTGATCATAACCTTTTCCGAGTAGAATTATGCTCCTACTGGCTAGAAAGAAGACAATAGAGCAGTGAATGGCACATTTAATTGTGGGCTGAAGCACAATCGGTCTTCTATCTTAGTGACCTTTATAATGACAAGGCATCATAATGATATCGGATGTGCTCTTTCTTTCTACATGAAACCATGCTATCTAATTACATTATTAGTTTTCTTTCATTCTCTGAAAAGTACTGTCTCTGATTATCTGACTGTAAAATTTCCGAAGAAAACATGTCACTGTAACATCTGAACAGAGAAAATGAGTTTCTGTGTTTTTCCAAAAATACAGTGAGTAATTAATTAGTTACTCGGATATCGGAATTGATTTGTTCGCTTAGGAATATGAGCAATTCAACCTCGGAGATGAGATCTTAATGATCTTAATGAAAATGATGACATTATTACTGTCGGTGAAAGGTAAAGGAATGTTTTATTATCAAAACAGACAGTCACAGGGACTCCAGGTAAATTATGTAAAGGGTATCTGTTTTTAATTATAATCTGCCATTCTTTCTTTCCAATATTCAAACGAAGGATAGCAGATTATTAATTGGAATGAATATGTCTCAGGGCAGTCATGACAATCATGACCCGTCGGACTAAAATATGAGTGTCTCTATTGCTGTAACATGCCATCTGTCATGTTTATTACATTTTCATTACAATCTCATTGGGTCTTATCTGAAAGTTACTAGAAATAGTTTAATTTAATAATTTAGCAAGAACCTTGTCAAGGTTGGTATTTACGACTTATAAGCGCGATCTACTCTTAATACTGTATTTCAAAACATGTTTCTATTAATGTTTATAATCATGGCTATTGACAACAATTTTATACAGGGTATTTACATGAATGCTGACATTGGTATGCTACATTTTCATGTAGGCAGGGTAGACATCAGTCCTTCCATCGTATAAACTTTAATAGAAAGAATCGTAACCCTTTTCATGATTTTATGGATATGTTTTGACAATGCATGTGATCCTTATGTTCCCCGTCCTGTATGAAACAAGTGTGTAAACCTGTACGAGGTTCGTTCTCTTTACGATTCCACACTAAATTATTGCTTAATTTATCGTAGATAGTAAATAGATTTTTAGACTATGGAGATGGGACCAGATACTGGCTTTTGTTTTTAACTATATTTTTTAACATTGTCTGCTGAGTATCAATCACGCTTTCAGTGTAAGTGATTGTCAGAACAGTCGGCACATAATAATGTTTTCCACTATCCAGCGTGATTTCCTTTCCTTTGTGCGAAATGTGAAGTCTCTTTTAACCAGAATCACCGCAATTTTAACTATTATTCCAGGAACAATATCCATGCACATTCGGTCCGCGGGTAACTGGACAAACCGACTCTACGCATTCTTCGAGGACCGGCAGAAGAGGAACCGCGATGAGACCGAGCTCCTCCTGGGCAGCGCCTCGGACATCCGCGTCGCCATGGAAACGGAGGAGGTGGAGGAGACGAACCATGCAGGCGAGTTCATCCGTCTGAGAGAGATGGAATGTGATGCAGCTGAAGCCGATGTGGTGAAACCCACGCTCAACCACCGGGGAGCTAACGGGAACCTTCCTCATGGTCTGCCGCGGGGCTACTCTGTGGAGAGGGAAGAAAGCGAAGACAATGTAAGGATATCTTTAGTACTTTTGACAAACCTTCCTTGTAATAACATGACAGCCTAATCAAGCACTTAGGGCATGTTGCCTTTAATGTTTCTAAGGTGTAGAATTACACAATATTTAAGATCAAAGTAAACGACTTGGAGATATTATGTATCTGTTTGCAGAAAAGTGATATCTGATTTTGCGAGAATGATGATAGTTTATGCTACATGAATTCTAAGAAAAATCCTTCTCCGATGCAAAATAATCTGAAGTGAAACTGAGCCTATGATTCGAAATGTTGTCGTTTCACTAAAGACGCATATTCCCCTTAAAATCCAAACACCACCCCCCCCTCAACCCAACGCCCGAAGGACCCAAGTGATCAATCAATAACCCAAATACGTGTACTTTGAAAAGCCTTAAAGGTAAAGACCAGTTATGGTCATGCGATTGCATTGTGAAAGAAACGTTGTGGAATCGATCAGAAAAGGTTGATCATCTAGCATCTAGCATCTGCAAGGTTCTGGAATCATCAAAATGATAAGAAATTTGGCCCATTCTTCGTAAGGTTACAAGCACTATACACAGAAAGATGTATATGGGACTACCCTATATCTCTCACAGACCATGAGAGAAACAAATTTACCAAATATATGAATTAGTAGGCGGTTTCCCGGCAAATTTTTTATCATCATGTCAAAATATATTCTTTCACATGATTGGTAATGAGAGCTTCCATTTCATTTTTTGAAATTGGGGCGTTTCCAATACTGGTCTTTACCTTTAACCCATTGCCTACTGGAACCTGGTGGCTCCTGTTTTAAAGCCTATAGGAACGTGATAATTCAGTAGTTAACGGGTTAATACTTGTATACTCTCTGTTACAGCTTTATTACACTATTTACTGGCCTACGTAACGTAGGAGTCCCGCCACTTATGTTTAGATCATGCATATGAAAATTGCCTCTTCAATTCCCTTTTAAAGAAGTTCCGAGGCGATTCATTGATAGATATAGTCGTTCACAGAGGATGCAATCAGTATTCAATCTTCTGTGTACTCATTACAGCAACACCAGCACAGGACCATTGCGTGTCAGACCACATTTGAGATGAAAGGGGCTAAGTCCTGGAGAAGTTCACTACGTGAGGAAAAGATCCAGGTAAGATTCCCTGAAGATTAGAGCCCTTCTTCATTGTAATCAAATTTACAATCAGACTCTGGTCACAACTGATCACAACGCTAGACTGTAAAGAGCCTATCAGGATCGTGGATGAACGCGTAGCCGTTAAATCAAAGATGTTGAAAGGATTAGTAAAAGTCGTAGTTGGTAGCACTGTGACTTTTAAGAAAGAGGCCATGACAAAAGAGGGCGTCTTGCATAAAAAGGTGCAATTAAAAGCAACAATGCAAAGTGAAAACCGCCACTTGGCATTCCACCAATCAAAATCAAGTATCAAGGACTTCCATTTCATTCGGATATGCGTGTAACCACCACATTTATGCAATGGATGAGAGGCCCTCATCATGTTAATTCTGGTGCCCGGTGGCATTTATTTAAACAAAAGCACGATTAAAAGTTGAGATCGAAATAATAAGTCTAGTTTAATAAAAGAACTGTATTTCATGAAGTTCAAAAACATGGGGGCTAAGTCAGGTCCTTTTTTTCGTAATGTATATTATTGATTTAAAGATTATCAACCGAGAGCCTCAAGTGTTGAAAACAATAGCCATAAACTCATATTACTCAAACTTATGATTGCGATGACCACAGTGGGTTTGGAAGATCTAGATGACCAGGGGGAACATAATGAAAACTACAAAAGCCTGTTCGGACATTTAAATTTGTAAGACGTGCAAAGGATCACTATACTGTGAAAGATAACGATATTATGCCAATGTTCCATCTATAGGTATTCATCGATGGGCCATACGGCACTGCTACGAGAGGCATCTTCCAAGCAGAACACGCCATACTTGTCGGGGCTGGCATTGGCGTAACGCCGTTTGCATCTATCCTTCAGTCCATCATGCATCGTTATCGTGTAGGGAGACAGACGTGCCCGATTTGTCAACATACATGGCTAGGAAACATACCGACAGACATGATGAGACTCAAGAAAGTAAGTTGTGATCTCAAGAGAAAGGCACATCTCCACAATTCATGTTTTTTCCCATATCATATGCAGAGTTTATTAATATCAGCCTTTCAAAGTCAGAGCCACGCTCTGAACTGGGAGCTTTCACGCTTGAACTTATAGCTATAAAAAAACGTAGCGGTTGCATGGCATAAGGTTGAAAAGTTCTAACTTCAACACAAACTGAGTGCTTGTCTACACCGTTGAGATCTGAATTCTGCTCCACATAAAACAGTTTTACACTATTTTGATCATATTTTCGTTAACAAAATTAAGTATCAATTGATTGTGTGTCAATATATCCACACTTCATTTACTGGATGATATTTGTTATGTCTGCGCACACGAGGCGTTATTTTGCTGACGTAAGACTACAGTCATGGGTGATGAAGTGCATGCAAGATGAACAGTTCAACCATCGCCTTGAATACATATTGTCTGCAGGTATGACCTCAATTGAAATGACGGATATTCGTTCTGCAATCAGCATCTAAACTCTTTTCTTTTTATTCGACCATTACTTATATCCAGGTTGATTTCATCTGGATCAATCGAAACCAGAACGCATTCGAGTGGTTCGTCAGCCTCCTTACGCAGCTTGAGATGGAACAAGCCCAGGAACCATTTGATCGGTTCCTGGAACTCCACATGTACATGACGTCAGCAATGGCTAAAAACGACATGAAGGGCATTGGTCTACAGATGGCATTGGATATCATGCATAAGAAAGGACATCGAGACCTTATCACTGGACTTAAGACCAGGACTCAGCCAGGAAGACCAGATTGGAACAAGGTATGCATTTGCGCTCCATAATTTTTTATCAATATATTGCTAACAATCATGACAATATCGATGACATTTATCAATAAACTCATGCATTGTATAGCAAATAGCATGGTAATGATGTCTTAAATTGAGAAAATGAGAAATCATGGGAACTATACATTTTGCCAATGAGTATAAGTATATTTCGAAACCAAAGTTACGAATAAAAAAAAAAAGATTAATTACATTATCATGGTAGGAATGTCATCAACGTTGATGCAGTCAGGATGGTCAGTAAGGTAACAAAAGTATAAAATGGATTGACACACCTGTACATTGTACCATTACAATGGCGTGATATTGCGTGGCGCCATTTATCTGTAGCTTTGCAAAAGCATATCAATCAAAGTGGTTTGAATCTAATTGAAAGGGCGGTACATAAATAGCGTCATTAAAGTGATATGAGCAGCATTAGCTACAATCTAAATAGTTTTATTGGTGGTGGATATGGGTTGTTATTTTTTCTACAGACGATAGTAATAAAGAATAATGAATGTCTAGGAAATGAAAGGTTAATTGATAGTAGCAATTATTTATAGGCTATTAATATCCGGGTTTATATATTGATTTTGATCCCCAGTCATCTCGCTCTCCCTCTTTTTCTCTCTCTCTCTCTCTCTCTTTCTTTCTCTCTCTTTCTCCCTCTTCCTCTCTTTGTTTCCAAGCGGGTCATTGCTATATCTTTCTTTCAACAATCCAACTTAAACAAAATATATATTTCTCTTTGTCATACTTTCTTTCTCGCTTTATCCTTTTTCGTGTTTCCCTTCTTTTTTCTGGAATATATTGTCCTTTACTCTCTTCTTTAGTCCTCCTCTTTGTTTTCTCTCTTTTCTATTTCTCGTCCTTTTTTCAATCTTTCTTTTTCTTACCAGTTTCTGGATGCATTGAATATCATTCTCTTTCTTTAATTTCTATATTTCACTCCCTATCTACGTACTTTCTTCTTTTACCATGTTTAAGAAAATCTTGTATTTAGTTTGTATTTAACCTTTGTAAATAATTTAATAATTTGTAATTACTATGTTATTTTTGTAATGTTGTCTTCTTATTTATACGGACTTGCTGAAATATTAGTTTTATTACCGTATTGAAATAAGTAAAAAAAAAAAAGAGACAAACAAACCAACCTTTAGGTACTCGTATCTCACCTTCAACTATTCTTCTACCAACAGATATTCACTCAAATCGCTCGAGAGAAGAAAGGCAAGGTCCAAGTTTTCTTCTGTGGTTCTCCAACGTTGGCAAAGATTATCAAGAAGAGCTGTGAGAAATTTAACTTTAGTTTCCACAAAGAGAACTTCTAGACCTACATCCGAACTAATGGAACAAAGTAAAGGACCAGAGTGATTGATGATGACAACGATTCACTTTGTGATGAACATTAATTGAAGGACAAAGTGATCTGATTTTTTTCAAAGGAGCATTAATGACTTGGACGAATGTTTATATATAGAACAGGTCTTCGTTATATCTGACTCTGCTCCTAACGAGTGCATAAACGAGATAGGCCATAAAAGATGTTAGTGGTGATTTCATTATCAACAATGGGCATGTGAAATGATAAGAAGTGGTTATTGAATAATTTAAGCTTATGGGGGAAATACGAAATGAGGGGGGCGCGTGCGTTCATACGGTATGTGCGTGTGTATGTGTGGGAGAGAGAGAGAGAGAGAGAGAGAGGGGAGGGAGAAATGAGAGATAATTGAATTTCATGTGAAGGCTACAAAATGCATTTACTTGAAAGCATATTTAAAGAAGAAAAGAAGGAAACCGGTTGTTTTGATCATACATTTTTATGCAAATCATCTGTAAAAGACGCTCTATTTTGATTCATGTTCTTGCAAGCAAGAATCTAAAACCCTATACATATTACGATTACATGCAGAGCATGGTCACCAATGAAAATGGATTGACAAAGACTTTGTACATTACTTTCTTTAACAATGACTGGTTTGCTTTGATGATCTTATCTTCCTAAATTGTACGTTGTGGTTATCCTCGTGCTTCGTTTCTTGTTTTATGATTATAACAAATTGAAAAAAAGAATGTTATTTCATATCGTAGACAATTTATTCATTTGTAATATTAGTCAACACGAAGATGCTTTTCGTTAGATATACATCTTCATTACGTCTCCAAGAGATCGGTACTTAAGTCTGTACTTATGTGTTCTTGTAATTTAGTATGTTGAGAGCGGATTAAGAGGAGACACACCCAAAGGGCAGAATAGGGCCACGCCCCATTCCACAATCCAATGTGGAATACCTTATATTCACAAAGAAAGTGCCCCTAATTTTATTATTGTGCCTCACTTTCAAGTTTTAAATCCCAAGGCACCTAAAATTTAAAAAAATAAAAAAATCTGCTACCGCATTTTCCCATTTTGTTCGTTAGAATTTTTGCGAACCTTTGACCTTATCGGTGGTTTTAAAGAATTCTAAATTTTCCCTAGGGTAGATGATGCAATGAAAAAAGGGAAGTATATGGAAAAACTAATTTTCATAAACGAAAAATAAATGAATAATCGTGTTTTAATAGACTATGTGTTATGCCATATGTACCAATCAACATCTTGAGTTAGTGCTCATCAAATGGTATCTAAAGAATAAAGAAACTTGCACTCGGAAATATATGTATATATTCACAAGGATGATTCCGAACAACATTTATAAGGTTCTTCTTTCTTACAACAAAAAAGTCGATCGTTCTCCAACTACTATTCGTCTATTTTGGGATGATGGCGTGTGTTCTAAACATGATTTGCTTGTTCTTCTCTGCGAAATTAGGATGATTTCTACCGCAGTTGTTTCGTGTGTTATATATCGAGTGATCATGCTGATAGAACCACATAAATAATCTTTAGTTTTTTTTTAAATAGGTTGTGATGGTTTGTAAATATCATGAACATGGATTACAATTTCGCTTTATCATCAACTGTTTCTCTGTATTTGAGAGTTCCAGGCAATTTTTAAAAGGGCTACGAACTTCATTGGAGCGTATATTAGAAAGAAGAACTAGCCTTTACACTTTTATATCATGTAGATACTTTTCTTGATGACAAATGATTAACTGGGTGACCAAATGTAATATATTATATGATGCTCGCAGTATTTTGAAGAACAGAGATTCGTGTACACAACGTCTTTTAGCAACTCTATGAAGTCAAACAAGCAGATGGATATACATTAAGTGGTTCACCATATTTGTCATGGTCCGTTCTTTGAGAAATCCAAGACTCGTCTGAGAAGATTTCCTTTTTCTATTCCGATTGTCGAGCCAGCCAGGCATGTTATGCAATCGAGTGAAGTGATTGTTGGTAAAAATACATATTTAAGAACAGTTACCGTACCTACGAGTAAAAGATAGAATGGGACAAGGCCGTTATTTATTTGGCGTTGGCTTAATTTGTACTTATCTACATAGGCCTAACATGATTACAAGAAACGTTTGAACATCCAATTGCTGTATTAAGGTATCCGAAAATGAATTACCTGATTGACGAAGTATAACGTTGGAAATTAGTAATTCTACTGATTGATGTACTGATTCAACATAATCCGATTACGGTTTCTACGGGATACACAATAAGATATTGAAAATCACCTTTTAATTGATTTTTTGAAAGTCTTTACGAACATGTTTGTGAGAGTAGGCTGTCTAAAGCGCCTTATGCAACAATGGTCTTATATCGTGTACCGTTCCTTTCTTTTATCTGTATGAATCCTTAACTTAGGGTAGTGCATTTTACACCCATTTTGGCTCTTCTACAACGAAGTTTGAAAACAAATTATATATGAGAAATTTTAAAACATTAAAATAGCGATAACAATTTGTGAAATGTTGCCTCATGGAATACTTATTAACATGATTAATGCAAAATCGCTAATTCGCCGATAATTCATTATAACTATACTAGAAACCCAATTTTGACACATTGTTTCTGTGGACATATGTCTAGAATTTAAATGACTAGATTTGCGTTTAAATGATGTATTTGTACCATGAATGCACAATTAGCTTACAAAGTAATAAACGGAATATAAAGACTACCAAGGGAGAAGTCCCACAAAAGATGTAATGAATAGTAAGTTTCTACTATGATTTAAAATGTAGAGCCTTTAAAAAGTATTGTGGGTATAAAAATATTGTTTTTGTAAAGATTATGCTAATTAGCAAATGGGAATTGGTATTGGTGTCAAAGTTCATCATAATTATCTTCCTTAGTATACATTTTTATTCAAGTACTTTTTTGTGTAGTTTGAATTTCAGACTAAACTGTAAAATAGTCAAGAGAATGGTGCTATTTCCTAAGCACTTCTTGAAAGTCCCCCTGAAAAATCAGTGGTATTCCATTTTTTGTTGGATCATAATCAATAGTTATTATGATTATGAATAGTGTAGTTTAGACGGTGATATGTTTGACAGTGTGACTTACTTTAGCAAGCTTTAGTTCAAATGAACGAACAAATTATATTTTAATCAAAACAGGTTAAGCGTATTCACGCCATCGCGTGACTCTTAAATGAAGAATGGTGTGTAAATTTATTAGCGTAAAGAACAATATGATTGCAAGAGACAAATATTGATTATCATAAACATCTGTACATAGGATACATTTTGAACGATAATACCCCTCCCCTGTTCCAAAATAAAATGGTATCAAAGCATGTAATTAATCTTTACACAAAGTCAATGCCGAAGTGCCAAAGAAAAAAGATGTTATTATGTTTACATATATTTAACCATGACACCTCTCCTATTGTTGTTAAAATAGATCCAATATTAGAAGGAAACGAAGAATGGTTCAGTGTATTTGATAACACTAAAAAACGATGAACCTCACTCGGTAATAAATTAATTCTAATTTAGAATCTTATATTTGCAAAAGGATTTAATCGATATTCGCATCTACTTTGGTTTTAATATCACTTATCATGAGAACTATGCAGCCTTATTTAACTAGTTTTCTAAACTTTTTCTTAACTCTATAATTTAGTCTCAGACTGAAGTATCCTGTACTTGACAATCCTACTTGATTATATATACTTCTCAACTGTTCAGAATTTACTTTAGTACTACCATTATTGTTCTAAGTAATAAATACTAATACGTGAACAAAATCACAAAAACTACTACTACTACCATGACTACTATATCGCTCCGACTACTGCTCCTGCTATTATTACTACTTCTACCACCACTACATGTACTAATACTACTACTTCTACTACTGCTGCTGGTGCTGGTGCTGCTACTATTACTATTACCATATATACTATACCACAACCATCACAATTCAATTACCACTATTACTACCACTAATTCTATCACGACAACTACTTCTACTACTACTACTACTACTACTACTACTTCATCTACTATGCTACTACTGTTGATGCTCTTGATATGTATATAGTACCACTATCATCCTTCTACGTGTACTACAGCTACTACTTTTACTGTTGCCGTACACATAACATTATGGACGCACTATTACTATTAAAACGACGACCACAACTGCCCTTTAATAACACGTTTACCGTTTTAGATCAGCAACCACCATTAAAATTATACTCAGTTTCACAAATTTAATTTTAAAATGTTTGGCATATACCATTATTCTAAATACAATCCTAGAACGGTTAATATACATGTATATACTTTACCCACGTGTGATATCTTATTGCCTCAGTTCGACATCAATGCAACGTCATCGCGATCTCTAACTCATATTATACGGTATCGGAGTGTGTTTCTTTACTTCCACGTGGTTTACTATACCTTTAACCTTACAGATATGGCACCTGTTTGAATATTAAACCTAATATTATATTCAAATTGCTGTAAGTAGGCCTGATGATGCTATCGTTTTTACTCTTCCAACATGTACTACAAGTACCACTCCTACTACTACTACTACTACTACTACTACTACAGCAACAACAACAACAACTACTACTACTACTACTACCATTATTATGATAACAAATACTTATATCCTTTTACTACTAATACTAATTTTACTACTATAACTACTACTATTACTACTACTACTACTACTACTACTACTACTACTACTTCTAGTACTGCTTTTATTTGTTCTACTGTTAATTATTACCACTGTTAGTACGATAACTGCTACCACCACCACTACTACTACAACTACGAGTATTATGTCTATGACTCTGCTACTACTCCTGCTTTGTATTCTGTCACTTCTATTACAATTACTAAAATAGTATTTATACAACTTTTTTGTACTACTGTAAGACAGTAGTAGGAGAAGGAGGAGGAAGAGTTTGGGGAGGTGAAATGGAGAAAAGTAGTACATGTAGTAGTAGTAGTAGTAGTAGTAGTAGTAGTAGTAGTAGAGGTAGTAGTAGTAGTAGTAGTAGTAGTAGTAGTAGTAGTAGTAGTAGTAGTAGTAGTAGAAGCAGTAGTAGGAGGAGGAGGAGGACGAGGACAAGTAGTCCTACTATAATTATTACCTATTGGACTATAACTGTAATTATCATTTAAAACAGCTTCTGCTGATGTTGCTATTACTACTACTACAACTGATGTGTCAAAATTATCCTTGTACTAACGATGTTAAGTATCATAGCTACATGTACTTATCCCGCAGGACTCAGATCTGTCTCCATAAAATTTGTTCAAACGTGAAGAAACGTGAAGTATTTTGTTTACTCAAATTCAGCTGCTATTTGGATATTTAAGACGAAGGACTATAAGAGAAACACATTAATGCGACAGACACTTCGATTTGTAAACGTGTGTGTTGAGAAAGACCGTTGTTCCGTTGGTTTTATAAAGACAAAATTGCGTTCATGTATATATTTATTTATCCCTCCTTGCATCGTGCATGCTTTTGTAGCTGTTGATGTAAATATTGCATGTACATATCATGAATTCACTGTGTTTTGAGTCTATTGCATTCCGTGAAGGTATAATTATGTCAAATGCATTTATTTACACGATTTTAATATGCAAGTTTATCCGTCGAGTAAAAAGCTTTATTTGTGTGTACCATACTACTTCAGTTGACAGATTAGAGTATTTAATTATCAATTTATCAAATTATTTCTTTACCTATATAGATTTCTGGCGACAAACCTAGAGTATAAATATTTACGTAGAGTGTGCAAACTAAAGTCTATCGAGCCTGAATACACTTTAAACAAGTTTGTCATCTTTGTATGATAATATTTCGAGTAATAAATACTTTCTATACGACGCAACTCTGAGTTAAATCTGTGTCATTATTTCACCATAGTAAATCCATCACCTTGAGTCAAGCTTCGAAGCTGCAATCTATCATTGTGACAATAGTCGTGACACTATTGTTAGTCAGTGAATATACCAAAAGCCATCTAATTTATTATGTGATATCTCTTAACGATGTTAAAAACTGTTGTTGAGGCTTAGTTTCATCTCTTTGAC